CCAGCGGGGCCAAGGTTTTTAAAGAAGAGTTACTCCTCTATCACTCCCCTCTTTCCCTGGCTTGTAGCAGACAGCCTGGTTTCCAGTACTTTGAGCCCAGGTTGGCGGGAATTTTCCAAATACATCTTTGTGTTAATAAATCCTTTAGTTCGATACAGTTTTTCGCTTATGTATTATATTTTAGTTTGTTTTTCTCATTCATTTCGTTAATTCATTAGCTTAGTAGATTATTTGGTATTCACAGGAGTTTATTTTCCTTAGGTAGACAATTAGCCCAATATGGCCAAATTATCAAAAGTATTAAAACTTCTATCGACTGTTAAGGTGCTGAAGTCAAAGCCTGAGTGCCTCCCACTCTCATCTTTGGCACGCTGTTGGTTGCAGCGTTCCTTGTAACATATTTATGAATAAATAATAATAATAATAATAATAATAATAATAATAATAATAATAATAATAATAATAATGTTAAACGTTTTTACACCAGACTCCCATGGGGAAATTCTCCCATTTTCTATTTCTTATAATGTTTAAGCCCCATGAACCATGACAGATTTTACATTACATCTCTTAACAGCCAAATAAGACTTATAAATAGTAAAGTGTAGAACAAAAACAATTGAAGTGAGTTAGTAGATTATGAAACTTCTGTTTAACTTAGATATCTCGTGTATACTATTAAATATTTACTTGTATATTTAAAAGTTAGTTTCCTTTTGCCAATGTTACTAAATATGTACTAGATAGCCAATAGCAAAATGTTCCAAACCTACTGTTTTCTTGTCAATCAAAATGTTACTTAGTTAAAACTTGTAAATATTTTACCGTAGCTTGTTCGCATTAAATAGTCAAATTCAATTTTTAAACCTTTTCTTTTCCCTGTTATATTAATAAATCCTGTATTTAGAATCAGTGTCCCACTTATGTATTACATTTCAGTTTATTTTGAGAATTCATTAGCAAAGTATGTTAGTTTTCCCAGTGATTTATTACCTTTAAAGTTTAAACTAATAAAAGTTAACTCAACCATGTAGAGAGATATTCCTCTCCCGCTGGATTATCGGCGAGGACAGCAATCTTAAGTTAAAAATTACCCAATATGAATGGGTGAATATCAGAATGGTATAATGTTGTATTTTATAAATTAAGAGAAATCTGTTTAGTAAGTCAATATTACTGTAAAGTCGTGGTGCTTTGTTTCATTATTAAAACAATGACAATTCAATTGTTCATTAAAACAACGAAAATATATTGCCACTGAAATATAGCCTAAAATAACTACGTTTTTTCTTAGAATTTATAAAATGTCACTTCTACCGTTCTAGTTTTCACCCATTCATATGGTCAAATTCTCATGCGTAATAAACCTTCTGGAGACAGGCAGGGTGCGGGAAGGAGGATTTAGACATAGCCTATAGCAGCATAACAGTAACAGAGGTTTCATGTAAAGTTTATGAATGTTTTCAAAAACCGCAGATCTTTGAGTGCGACCTGATCGACGGGAGCTCATTCAGTTTGGAAAAAAACTTCCGTATAGTTTAGTATCGCTGTAAACTGTTTTAAAAATAGTTTCATGTGTTGAATTTTTAAAAATATTTTATTTCCTTCATGCCCAGTTTTGTTCAAACATATTCTTTCAGTGCTTGGAATAGGATTTCTTAATGAATCGTAGTAGCTAATAATAACGTCCAAAAGTTCCCAATAACCAAAGGCCTTGTATCTTACCTCTATATGGGATATGAACTGGTCTTATTGCAATTTCAAAATTATAATCGCCGTCACAAATATTAGCAGGTTTTTATGCTAATAGTGAAAGTTTTTTTGGCTTTATTTATTATGGTCACATAAACTACTTGGTCACGATATTAACAATATTTGAAGCAAACAATTATTTAGAAATGATATAAAAACACATACTATAAGTACAAATATTACAAAATGGAACACAAAAATATTAACAAATTTATTACATTAATAAGATCTTAAAATAATAGTATGATTTTTAGATACCTAGTATTTAACTTGACAAGTTGTTTTTAGTAGTTTACAGGTATTAATGAAGGTTGAGTTCAATGAGGAAATGGATCAGATTATATACATTACTTATATCATTTAAAAGTGTTTGTATTTTGTTAGAAAGATTGTATTTTTTCTTAAATAATTCAAATTTGGGCAATGAAATAATATATGGATGACGGTAATAGGTATATGACATGTTTCGCAGAGATTTACGGATTCCTTTGCTATTAAATGCTTGTCAGTCAAGGCTGAATGGCCTATTCTCAAACCAGTAAATAGTACTTGATCACTTCTTTTTTTAAGGTAAGGACCATGGTCTTGAAGAACTGATTTTCCGATCATGAACAGTCTGCTAGGTGGTGAACTTTCCATTCAGTGTTCCACAATTCCTTGTTTTTTGGAAGAAGTACTTTTTTATATCATTATGTGAAACATTATTGGTGGTCAGAGGTAAGGAGGTTGCTCGTTTAGCTGCTTTGTCAACTAATGTTATACCCTGTTATACCAAGGTGAGAGGGAATCCAGACAAACACTATTTCTTTGTTAATGTTTAACAATTCATTATAGAGATTGATGGTTTTTTTAATTATTGGATCTAGTTTGGAGGTGCTACTGAAGCTTTCTAGTACACTTCTCGAATCAGTGTAGATTACAAATTTTGAGTTTGTCATATCTTTGATGTATTTTAAGGCTCTGTATATGGCGTAAGCTTCACAATAATATATAGAACATATATCACAAAGCTGGAAA